GGGGGGGGAAGAAGCTGAAACCAGACATCGGATTTCTCTGGGGACAAAGTTGTTTAGGCTGGGATCCTACAGAGGTACAAGCCCCTTGTCCCGCTTCAGGTACTTGTGAAGCTAAAGGCAGATTTATTTTAGGTCTGATGTGTCCCTGGCTTTTGTTGGCATTCAAGCAGGCGGGGGACACTTTCTCCTTCACACTATCTGCACACCTTGAATGGTTGTTAAATCAAATTAGCACCTGGTTATGCCAGGAAAAAAGTGGTCTCTCTGAGACTTAAAAACAGACAACCAGCTTGATTGGAGTGTTTATGTCCCAGCAAACCCCAGACCTTACAGACAGATAAGCCCATTGTCCTACATGAAGTCCCTCTGAAGTATGCATATCAACAATTGCAGCTAATTAGAGTTAATTGCTGTTTAAGCCTAGCATGTGAATAACCGCCACATCTGTTTTGATGCCAGTCATATCCCGGACCAGTCAGGGCCGCATTTGACTGGTCGTCTAGTTTTTAGCCTGGGATCCCAGGATAAAGGCTTTGTCCCAGGAGAAATCCAGTGTTTTGTTTTAGCCTGAAGCATCCAAGATGAAACTTATTTTTCCCTGCGATGATAGCAGCTAATTGGCGTTTAATTGCCATTCAAGTGCTGAGTGTGTGGTAGAGTCCATCCCTGGCACAGTTGGGCCCATGATAAACCTGATGTCTAGTTTTTTTACTTTCAGCTACTTCACAGGGCCCTCTTTCAAGTGGGACAACAGGCCTGTCCCTCTGTAGGATCCCAGGATACAAGGATTTATCCCAGGAGAAATCAGATCTTTGCCTTTTGTCCTCATAAACCCCTCCTGGTCTGTCCTAGCCCTGCTGGGGACCTGCCTCCCCTCCCACTGGGGACCCGATAGATTCAGATGGGGGCTTTGGAGGCCGAGACGGCACTGGCTCCTGCCCCATACATCTTGGCTCTCAGCCTTCCCATCTCTTTTTTTCCATCCAGGGTCAGCGGGAAGGGCAAGAAGGCACCGGCACTGCACTACACGGCTGCTCGGCTGCTGGAGAAGGGCGTGCTGCTGGAGATTGAGGACCTCCCTATCAGCCAGTGAGTCACCTGAGCCTCGTCTCTCCTCCCGATCCTGTTTTGGGATCAAACATCCCTGGTCTTCCAGCCGTTTTACTGGCTGCTCCAGAAGCAGCCCTGGGGGTTAACCCTCTTTCTCCCAGGTTCCGCAACGTCATCTTCGACATCGTGCCCTGCGGGGAAGCCGGCAAGTTCCAGGTGAAGGCCAAGTTCATGGGCATTGACATGGAGCAGTTCCAGCTCCACTACCAGGTGAGGATCCACCATGCATCCTGCCTCAGTTTCCCCAGCTAAGCAAAGGACCCCCCCCTGCTCAGTGGGTGATGGGGGAGACTTAATGCTCCTCTGCTGCTTGAAGACAGCATGTACTCTGAGCCCAGTGTTGTTTCTTCATCAACTGAGATGGAGCAGAGGGTGGGGGAAGGATGGGGGATGTGTGTGCTGGGGTTTCACCAGATGCCTTTGGCCCACGGGCCCCTCTCTCCCCCTGCCAGGACCTGCTGCAGCTGCAGTACGAGGGCGTAGCCGTCCTGAAGATGTTCGACAAAGCCAAAGTCAACGTCAACCTGCTTATCTTCCTCCTCAACAAGAAGTTCTTCCAGAAGTAACTGCAGCTGGGGGCAGGGGGTGAGGGGATGGAGGCAGCTGCCATGGGGAGGGTTGTGGGGGGGAGAGGAACCTGCCAAAGACACTTTGGGGACTGAATCCTGCTGCTGAACGGTCCTGTCAAGTGTTTGCTGTTTGACTCTTTCCTGTCTGGGTCTGGCAGGATCAGGCTCTTCTACAGCAAGCAGCACCTTAGTGCCTTGTGGATTGAAAACTACCTAGGGCAGAATCATCCCAGGACAAGGATGGGCAGAAAGGGAAACCTAAAAGTATCCCCCTAGTCAAGGGCTGGTGCAGACTAGAGCAGCCCTGGTCAGGAGCTAAAAGCTCTCTAGGAGCCATGCAGTAGTGTTGGAAGCACTAGCATACCAGCCTGCCTTGCTACGCCCCTGCCAGCTGGGTATAAGGGTACGGCTGGGGGGGGTGCGTCTATGCTAGCCTCTCTAGCAGCAAGGAATTGGCCCCCGTTTGTGCTGCTGCTTCGGATGGATAGAAATACCCGCAGCTGTGGAGCTGCCACCTGGTTCAAGGGGGTTTTAGATCCATTCCAGGTTGCCAGGACCAGTCTTGTCCCTTCTCAGCTGCTCCAACCTCCTTTCAGTCTCGCTTCAATGCTGGACTTTGAGCATGAGCTCCACAGGCACAGATGCTTGCAAGCCCACCATGCGCTCTGAATGCACCCTGGCCTGCGTCTGCTGGCAGTAGCTGGGTCACGGACACGTGTGATCACTACGTGTTAACTCACATGGGAGAGTGTGTGTGTGTGTGTGTGTGTGTGTGTCAGAGGGAATCCATAGTCCCTGTGGCTTTGTATTATGTGTGTAACTGCTTTTCTCACTACTGTTTTTAGAGGTTTGACTCTAGTTCCTGGTCACTTCCAAAGTGGCTGTTTTTGTGGACACTAAAGGTTCGTGAGCCATGGACCTGAGCTTTTACATAAATAAAGAAACTTAGTTATATATTTCCCCCTATTCTATTAGAGAAACAAAAACCCAGTCCCCTTTTATCCTATAAGGGAAAAACTGGCACTGGAAGGAAAAACCATTCCAGAAGATGCTGTCCAGTAAACAAAGCGGCCTATAGGCAGCCCTCTTCCAGGGGCCATAAATACACCGGTTTGCAGTACAAGGAAGCTGCAATTAATTTTAAGGGAGCTAATTTGAGCTTTCACACTCTCCCAGGCAGTTACCATGGAGCAAGAGGCATAAAGTGAGCTATTGCCATGCTTATTTTTTTGCTTTACTGCAGCATTCGGGCTCTGCTGGTGCTCTCTGCGGTAAGGGGCAAAGGGAGAGGGTGTGGAGGTGGCTAGAGCTAGAGGGTCTGGCTGGTCTGAGCCTGTTTGGACTGTCTGTGCCGTTGGCTGTGGGGGGAATGGGGTTCTGGGATCTGAAGAGAGGTGGTTTTAATGCCTAGACCAGATGACGCCAAAGGGATGTGACACGAAAGGGAATAGCAACGGGGACCCCCAGTCCTGCAATCACTTCTGTAGAGGCTCCAAGCCCACTGTAGTGCGGGGCCAGTCCTTGACTGCTCTGACTTGTCCGTAGAGTTACTCTGCCTCACATTACCTGCACTGTTAAGGTGCACCCCTCTAAGGGCAAAAGCAACCCTCGCTGGGCTGTCTTTGCAGAAGTCAAGGTCGATGGCATCAGCAGCAGCAAGGAGCTCAGCTGCCGTGCTTGACTTCTTATAAGGGCCTCTCCTTCGTGGAGACACTGACACACAGTGGTCCTGGAGAGCAATGCCTCCTGTGAAGACATGAGGATTTAATGGTGTATGTACTCTCCCAGAGAGTCCCAGGTGCGGACCAGAGGCCCAGCAAAGCTCTGTACAAGCCCAGCACACAAACAGCCTCTGCTTGAATGTCAGTAATGACAGAACCATGTGAGAGCACCCAAGACTTCAGCCTTGTGCTACCACCTGGAAGAAACAGGCATGTGTCAAGCAGCTTCCACGGTCACCCAGCTGGGCAATGGCAGAACCAGAGATGAGAGCCCAGGTGTCCTGATGCACAGTTCAGTAGCTGGTTCCTCTTCAACCTTTTTGAAACAGCTGTGGTGCAACAAGTGGATATTTTTTTTGCAGATTCATAGATTGTAGGGCTGGAAGGGACACCACGGAAGATCATCGGGTCCAGCCCCCTGCAACAGGCAGGAAAGACAACTCGGGTTAGGTGACCCCGGCGAGGTGACTGTCCAGTCTCCTCTTGAAGATTTCCAGGGTAGGCGATTGCACCACCTCTGCAGGGAGCTTATTCTACAGTCTGGACACCCTGACTGAAGAAGTTTTTCCTAATGTTGCGGCTGAAACGGTCTTCCAGGAGTTTGTGGCCATTGCTCCTGGTCTTCCCCTCGGGTGCCCTGGTGAACAGTTGCTCACTGAGACCTTGATGTACTCCCCTGATGTAGCGGTAAGCTGCTAACAAGTCCCCTCTCAGCCTTCTCTTTTTCAGGCTGAAGAGTCCCCCCCAGATCCCTCAGCCTTTCCTTGTATGTCTTGCTGCACAAGTTGTTGATCATATGGGTAGTCCTTCTCTGGACTCTCCCAAGCTTGTCCACATCCTTGTTAAAGTGCAGTGCCCAGAACTGGGCGCAATACTCCAGCTGCAGTCTCACCAGTGCTGAGTAGAGCAGAAGAATTGCCTCCTTGGTTTTGCTGGAGATGCATCGATTGATGCATGCCAGAGTATTACTTACCCTACTGACTACAGCATTGCACTGCCGGCTCACATTCATAATATAGTCAATTATTACCCCCAGGTCCCTTTCTTTTGTAGTGCTGGTCAGTTTGGTGCTGCCAAGCCTGTAGGTGTGTAGGGGGTTGTTTGTCCCCAGGTGCAGCACTTTACATTTCTCGACGTTGAACTTCATCTGGTTTTGATCCACACAACTTGCCAGCCTGTCTAGATCTGCCTGTATCTGTAGCCTATCTTCAAGCATGATCATGCTCTCCGTAACTTGGTGTTGTTCACAAACTTGGCCAGTGAGCTCTTCACCCCCATAACCAAATCATTGATAAAGATGTTGAAAAGCACTGGATCAAGCACAGACCCTTGAGGGACACCACTGGCCACTTCTTGCCAGGATGACACATCTGTTCACTACGACACTGGGTCCTACCCCGCAGCCAGCTTCTTACCCACCTAACTGTCTCGCAGTTAAGCTCACAATCCTCCAATTTTACTGTTAGAACATCATGGGATACCAGATCAAAGGCTTTTTGGAAGTCAAGGTATACAATGTCAACCTCCTCTCTTATCCAGGTAGCGAGTTACCTGATCGTAAAAGGAGATGAGGTTGGTAAGACAAGACCTGCCCGTGACGAAGCCATGCTGGCCGTCATTCCGAATCCTACCTTCTGCAAGCCTATCGCACATAGACTCCTTAATGAATTTTTCCAGGATTTTCCCTGCGATAGAAATTAGGCTAATTTGGTTTATAGTTACCCGGGTCCTCCCTCCTCCCCTTCTTGAAGATGGGTACAACATTGACCCTCTTCCAGTCCTCAGGGACCTCTCTGGAGTGCCACAAGTTTTGGAAGAGTTTCGCCAGGGGCTCCGCAATGACCTTGGCCAGCTCCTTCAGCACTCTCAGATGAAGTTCATCTGGTCCTGCTGACTTATATGTCTAATTATTTTAATTGATCACACTGGCCAGTTCTACGGCAATACAGTAGTAGGAAGGCGGTCAATCCTACCCTGCTCATTCTGTACATTCTAGCCACGAGAGAGGAGCTCTAATTGCAAGACAGGGTGGTGCAGTGGTTAAAGCGAAAGGCTAATGGCTGGGGACATCTGGGTTCAGTATATTTGCTCTGTTACTGATTTTTTTTTTTTTCTTCACTATGTAACCTTAGCCTCTGTCCAAATAGGGGGATAATATTTCCCCCATCTCACAGGGGTATGTTCAGAATAAATGCATTAGAGACTGTTTAATGCATTAAACCAACTCTAATATCTAAACGATACCAGATTTACCCAAAGAACCTTGTCTGCCTATGTCCTTAGAGAGACACAGCTATACCCTACGCCCCTTAAGGACTAAGAGGAGCTTAGACCTTTGGTGCTTGGGGTTGTGTGGCCCCAAGGGTACTGCAGCCTTAGGATAAAACAAATCTGCAGCCCTCCTGCAGTGAAGCAGCCTTGGCCAGAATCATGCCTTCTGGGGCTGTGCCTGATCCAGCCTCCAGCAGGGCTGCTGGTTTGTTTCCAGCGGTTATTAGCAATAATGGCTGGTATGGTTTGGAGTCGGTTGGCTTTAATGAACCTTTTCAATCTGGTGCTATTGCTTGGAGTGTTGGTTTGGAGATGTCTAATCAGCCGGGCATCCCCTACAGCTGGAAAGGGCCTGGCATTTGGGGGGCCCCTTGTTTCTATCCAAGTCAAACAACTGGCACCTGTTTCATAGGTAATTGGGGGTTGGAAGGGACCTCAGGAGGTCACATCTAGTTCAACCCCCTGCTCAAAGCAGGACCAGCCCCAGCTGCATCATCCCAGCAAGGCTTTGTTGAGGCAGGTCTTAAACACCTCCAAGGATGGAGAGTCCACCCTGTTCCAGCATTTTACTACCCTCCTCCTGAGAGTTTTTCCTAATATCTAATCTCAAATTCCCTCACTGCAACTGGAGACCACTGCTCTTTGCTTGGTGCTGGGACCCCATCCACCTAGCTGATGGCCCAGTGTCCTGTATGGTTCTGGGTGCTCCTGCTCTGGTCCAGCAGAGCAGATGATGCAGCCTGACCTCCCCCAACCCAGGGATGATCCTGCTTTAAGCTTAACTGGAAATGCTTCCCAGGCCAGGAGGAAAGTGAGGGCCTTAGGACTGGGGCAGGAGCACTCATGCCTCATTCAGCTTACATGACCTTCTCCTGGTATGTGCGTGCTGCTGTGCCTATGATCCACCTGGCCAGGCATCACACTCCATTGTAAAGAGAAAATCGCCCATGTCTCTTGGTCCGTCCTTCCTCCGTCCGTGTCTTTACATGTGTGTTTGTTTTTATCATGCGATTTCTGTACATAGTAGTTCCCCCCCCACCCCATGCTTGTATTCCAATGGCTTTCTTACTCCAAAGCTGCCTTGATTATTTTTTTTTATTCTAAATAAATGCCTCTATAAGAAAACAGTGGTGTGATGGTCCTTGCTGCAGATGGGCTCTCTTAAAAGCAGGAGGCAGCATGGTTTAGTGGGTGCAGTTACCTGAGTTTTAGTCCCACCTCTGACACTGACCTGCAGTGTATCCTTGGGTGAGTCACTTCATCCCGTCTTCCTCAAGGCTCTCCCCAGCACACTGTGATCCTGACCCTAATGGCATCCTAGATGCTATGTGAAGTGCCCTTCAGTCTCTGGGCAAGGCATTAAGCTCTGGTTAAATTGCCTTGGGAGATATGGGCCTGTTCATCTGTGAGAAGACAGACCAGAAGGAGGCTGGGTACGTGCCGTGTGCTTTTTTTATCAGTGGTTTTTACTGCAGGGGTCCCGTGTAAGATCCCCCAGCTCTATGAAGCCCCTGTCGAGTGGCTGTGCTTCTAGATTGGGAGTTTCCACTAGGAATGAGTGGCTGATTTTGGTTTGGAAGGAGCCTGCTGTGACTGGTGCTGCGATTCTCCGCCCGTTGTATATCAGTTGGGGCTGCCCAGTTCCCTTCTGGGCCATCTTGGTCATGGTTAACAATGGGCTGGCTGGAGCCAGGCACAGAATCACAGAAAGTGAGGGTGGGAAGGGACCTCAGGAGGTCACATCTAGTCTGACCTCCTGCTCCAAGCAGGACCAGCCCCAACTACATCATCCTAGCCAAAGCTTTGTCCTATCTGGGTCTTAAAACCCTCCAAGGATGGAGATCCTAGAGCCTGTTCCAGTGCTTCACCACCCTCCTAGTGAGATGGTTCTTCCTAATATCCAACCTCATCTTCCCTTGCTGCAACTGGAGCCCATTGCTCCTTGCTCTGTCATCTACCACCACTGCGAACAGTCCAGCTCCATCCTCTACAACCCCCCTGCAGGGAGTTGAAGGCTGCTATTAAACCCCCTTTAAGCCTTCTCTTCTCCGGATTCAAAAAGCCCAAGTCCCATAGCTTCTCATAAGTCCTGTCCCCCAGCCCCCAAACCATTTTCATTGCCCTCTGCTGGACTCCAATTTGTCCACATCCTTTCTGCTGGATGTTGCTATGTGGGAGGCATCTGTGAGGCTGGAAGAGCCTTTTACTGCCCAAGGCTGGCTGGTTGCCTCCTTTCTTAT